TTCCCTACAGAATTTGTGAATTTTAATTTCTTTGTCTCTCTGCAGCAGGGGAACTGATAATAGTACCTCACTGTTTTGGTGTTGGGTGTTTTTTTTTTTTTTCAGTGCTTAGAAAATTTGATAGAGTTCCTGCCTCCAGACTGATTTATGGGTCAGAAGAACCTCAAATTCTTCGGTCTCAGTCATTTCGGGGAGACCTGCAAAGTCCAGATTTTCAGTGTATTTCAGGTGAGGAAAAGTCTTAGAAAATCTATAGAGACAACACCAATCATTGTGGAAAATAATAATCTCTTCATATGATGAGCTTATAGTTAAGTTCCTAGGTGAGTTATATGTTTTGGAGTTCAGCACCAACTCACTGGAAGATATTTGCAACTTTTGGAGACCTAGGTTCAGGGACAAGATTAGTCTTTTTTTTCGGAAAGAAGTCTTCTGATTTTATGTACCATGTTAGACAGGTCATCTGAGTTTAAAGCCAGTTGGTATAGTATACAACATGGATGAGAGCTCAGATTCTGACCAGGAAACATTCATCAGACTTTTCAGATGTGCAGACCAAAGGAGGATTAGATGTTCAGGACATGTGAAAACCAAGCTGTCACCTCTTTCCAAATTACTTAATTGGCACATAAAAGAGGAATAATCATCCTTGCTTGCATCAGAATGATATTATAAGAGATATTCCTGTGCCAAGTTTTACAGTGTGTATATACTATATTACATCTGAATACGTCATGTTTGCTGGTTTATATTAATTCTAAGTAATCTAAAACCAAGGGGGATCACTGCACTGCTTTTAGGATGCTTTGAATCAATGCCTTGCCTTGTGTCTCATAATGCTCAGGCTTGTGAAGAGAGGCAGAGGGGTAACATTCAAAATAAAAACACCCTGGCAGTAATAACACAGGTGGCCTCTTTGTAGGGCAGACATCACTGAAGTCTGACAAAGTCAGTGGCTTTATGTCACATATCCTGGTCTAGCAGGAGCCATCATCTCATGCTAAGAGATGAGTCTGCAAAGCCTTAAATGTGTTACTAGAATGATTTTCCTGCACCAGATCATCCCCTAGCTGTGCGCTGCTAGGTTTCGTGCACCTTCCTCTGAAACTGGAGACCTTAAAACCAAGACACTGAGCTGAGAGGATTGTGGGGATGAACTTAGGGAGGAAAAGGTGCTCTTTTGACAAGCGGTATGACTTGAGTGCACATAGCCTGTATTTTCATTATCAGTTCCATCTACTGTCAAGTGACAGCACTACTACAAAATATTACTGTTGAGGTGCTCACTGAAGAGTAAGGGTTAACCCTTCCCTCTCTGTTTCCCAACAAGTTCAGAGAGCTTAGCTTATGTTTCTGATGATGTTCTGTTCTGAGCTGGTTGATTTTATACTAAAGACACTTGGAAACATTGAACCACTTTACCAGCACATCACATCTGCCTGATACAGTAATCCCATAGCAAACAGGTTGTGACAAATATCAGAGTGATAGGAAGGAGGGAAACAGCAAATTCTTCAATTGTTCTAGCCACCTCTGCAGAAATCACCTGGCCAGTGTAAGTGGGCAAGCAGCCACCCCCTCCAGATTTAGTAGTGGCTGAAGGTCCTCCTGCCCTTACCACTCACCACTAACTCACTCCCAGAGCTCTGCTCCTAGAACCAGGAGGCAAAATTTTTCCTCAGGCAAAATTGTCCAGCAGACATTAGGTATTTGGGTGGGTGGTTAGACCTAACTCATCTGTTTGTATCATCAGGTCATGAATGTCCAAACAGCTCTTGGCATTAAGTTAATTTAAAAACTAACCCTCTATACTAAAATGGTTGAATACTAAAGGTCATCTGGCTAATGTAATTTGTGTGTTTGCAGTCTGATAGAGGTATGAAAAACTAGGTAAATGGCAGTAAACAGTGGAGTTTGTAGCAGAAATTTTGCACATGAAATGATAGGAAACCTAAGGTTTCATTTCTGTGTTTCAGACTGTGAGAGGGAAGAAGCATGTGGTTTTGCCACTGTAACCATTGCTGGTGCTGAAGTTCTGTGCGAATTATACAATGCTGCTGAAGTCAACTTCAACTGCACCACCTCCGGATTGGTAAAAATGATCATAGTTAAAAATATGTGTTTATAATAATACTGTAGGGTCAATATAAGTAGAAGACATCACAGAACAAAGTCAGGCTGTTACCTGACTCCTTGGATATTGCTTTTCACTATGGCAGTAATAAATTCCTGCAGGTTGGTAAAGACACTATACCCAAATGTTCCCAAAACTGACATCTGAATGCCTCAGTGTTTGGTTGAAACATCACACAGCACTTTTGTTCTTAAAACATGCTGAGCTCCCACAGTCTGGAAATCAATTAACTTGAAAGGGAAGTTCCTCTGGATAGTCCAAACTAGAAGTGTCCAGGCTGGTTATCAGGTCACCTGAAACAGTCATCATTTCTTAGTCCCTTCCTCTAGCAGAGGGTTTGGAGGGTGTGCTCTTCAGCACTGTAACAGTTTCCTATTCACCATATTTAAACACATCAATGAGGTATTGAGGAGTTAAGATCTCCATTTTATGGAGTAAAAGATGGCCACACTGGGCCACGTGGAGCTGTGGTGGTTTTAAACCATATGCGTTAATTCCTTCCCTTGAATTTCTGAATAAGGAAAATGTATTTTAGGAGAGGAAATCAATTAGGTTGTATTTATTGTGCACGCCTATTTTCTGTCTCAGGTGCAAGGTGCTTTGGGGAACCCCACGGCCACTAGCGTCAGTCATCTCAGCTGCCTGCTTCATATCAGGAATCCAGAAGGAGATGCCGTGATGGTCTATTTGAAGAGAGGTACCAGATGCAAATCACTCATCTGATGGTGGAATACTGTCCTCAGCCTTGTAGTTATTTCTATGTAGGATCATAACTAAATCTAGCAGGGCATCTTTTTTCCAGAAGATGTAATATGTTTCAGTGCTTAACATTTAGTGATAGCCCAGATACCTCAGCAAATTTTCCCTTCATGGCTGGTTCCCTAGAAATCAGGAATACAGCTTTTCTAGGCCCTTTTGGTGTCTCTCTCCAGCAGATAGTACCACAGAATTTCTATTTCTTTTCAATGTTTTACTCTGTTCTGTTGTACTATGATTTGTCTTTATTGAACAGTTTGTTACTTGACTATATAAGGCACTATTAATGACCAACTTGTACATCATAGTTTAACAGTTTAGGTTAATTTTTACTGTGAATTGTCCTACTAATATACCGACTGAGAAATACCATACTCTCCAGTGAATCCCAGAGTGATTTAGCTGAACTAATGAATATAAAAGACACATTCATTTTCACCTAAGTGTGATTGATGCCACTGCATGTCCCATCTAATGTGTGTCCAACTTTAAGCCTCATGCCAAATTTGAAACCAAACAACCAAATGCAGAATGCTACAGGGTTTGAGTCAAAACTCTCTGCTCTCACTGTTCTTCTTCATTTCTGTCCAATCCTGAGTCACCATTTATTAATAATAATAAAAATAAAGAGCTAAGTCTTACCTGAAAAAAAAGTCAAGTCCCTTAAGCTTTTTAAAATCAATGTAATCTCTTGGTATCAAGTCTTGTCTCGATATCTGTTGATATTGCTAATTAGATCCGGGGTAAAATTAATCATGTCCTCATAGATATGTGGCTAGTCAGCAGAAGCCCTAATTACAGATGCATCTATGCTGGCCAAATTACACATTTTACTTTTTTAACCAGATAAGTTTATTTAATTTATACCTTGGAGTTGTTAATATAGTGCTTGAAAGTGAGTATTACCAACCTTACTGTATACATCAATTTAGGAGCCCTTTGCTGGCACAGCGGGCTGTTTTTCCTACCCTGGAAGGACATTCTGACCAGCTACCCTGGTATAATTGCACCAAACCATTTGGTGATCTTATCTTGGATTTCTAACTCAAAGTCCAGAAAAGGACCTTTGAAGTTGAGTTTTTATCATAAAACTATCAACCAGCTCCAGTCTGCAGGCAACCCAAAAGCATCCTCTTGAGTTCTTTTGAACATATCTTTCCTATTCTGTCTACCCAGGACAAGAATTTAACTCATCTGGACTCAAGACCTTTGAAAAGACCAGTTTTCAGAATGTGCTGTCTGGCGTGTATGGCTCTGTGGTGCTCTCAGCAGCTAGCACATCTCTGACTGACGCTCAGCTCTTCTGTCGGCAGACTTGCAGCAGGGACTCTTGCTGTGACGGCTTCATCTTGAGCCAGATTGCACTTAACGGAGGTACTGTCTAACTGCAAAATAAAAACTTCTACAGTGGAAAGAGTACAGTAACTGGAAGAGGGTAGATTTAGATTGGATATAAGAAAGAATTTTTTTCCTGTGAGGGTGGTGAGGCACTGGAACAGGTTGCCCAGAGAAGCTGTGGATGCCCCATCCCTGGAGGTGTTCAAGGCCAGGCTGGATGAGGCTTTGAGCAACCTAGGCTAGTGGGAGGTGGGAACTCCATCATCTTTAAGGTCCCTTCCAACTCTAATCATTCTGTTCTATGAAAACCATAGAAGAACTCATTTTTGGACACAGTACACCTGCCTCTACATCATACCAGGGTGTCAACAGCCTGCCTCTGTGTCACTGACATTTTTCAGTGCAGGCACAATGTGAGTGATGCCCCAGACTTGGCCTGGAGCAATAGAGATAAAGACCTGAGATAGCAAACTGCTCTTGGAGAGAAATGGACATTTTTAAAAACATAATTATTTTGACCTGTTTTAGACATCTGCATCCATATGAGATAAATCATTCTGAAACAGCCTGTCTCCTTACATAGCGCAGCTTAGTTGCCAGAAGTTGGTGCCTTTACAGTGATGGGGGAATTAAGATGTGCCTCCAGAGAGCTTGTAGGGCAAATGTAAATCAACTCCCTTTTTGGAGCAGGAAAATAGGATGTTAAACAGGGTATTATGTTGTGTTACTGCATGCCAGAATGCTATAATCTCCCAAATCTGAGTGTCTAGGTAGGAGAGAAGTGAGAGTGAGATGGACAGAGTCTGGCAGAGGTGGGACTTAGGCAGAGGGCAGATTTCTGCCAGCAAATTCAAGTACTTAATGTCAGTGCCTGCTTTTTGTAGTTTCTTTTCAAGCTTGCATGGGATCAGCTTTCCTGCTGGAAGTGCATTTCTTATAGAGAAAGTGAAGTTCTAATTGAAATGTCTGAAGTTTTTAAAGACGAGCTGTTACAAATGCAGGCATGTGCTACTGGCTGCTGTGTGGCAAGCACTTCTCTAGTTTTGAGTGGAAGATGATCCTGCATTTGAAAAACTTTTTCTGTGGAAGTTTTCAAGCAAATGTTTCCAATAAATTATTTTCAGTTTTGGCATCTTATATTTTTTGGCAACAAAATGTTATAGGTGATCTTGTAAAGTCAATATCTATCTACACTTACCATCAAATTTTTGAATTCCCCGTATGTAGAAAGAGGTGTGGAGAAGATGAATGTTGTAGATTTCTGTGTTTAGTTGGGGTGACCTATTTGGATCAATAATACAGGTAAATGCACTACCTGGACCAGCATTTTGTCAAAAAAAGGAAAAAAACAAAAGAAAAAAGGTAGCACATTCAATATCTCATGTACCAGTACATTAAAAAAAAAAATCAGAGAGGGCATTGTAAAACCATAGAAATGCCTCAGCTGTGACAGTAAGTACAAAGCAAGAGCTGAGTATTGTCTAGACGTTATGGTAAGAGACTGATGCCAGAACACCTGGCCTTAAGCGTGCTGGTCCCCTGACTCATGCTGTGATTCTGGGGGAGACTCAGGCATGGGCTGACTGAAATCGGGCACCAGTCCAGGAAACCATCCCAGTAAAAATATAAGTGCTTTCTTGGTTCAGCCCCTGAGGTTGTAGGACCGCCAAAGGATTGAATATGTCTCCTTGGTGCTATGAAGTGCTGAGAACACTGTTGGATATTATCAGATAATAGTAATATTTTATTAGGTGGGAATAGTATGTGCTTCAAATCTCTGAAAAGCAGGCTGCAAATGTTTGGTTTAGGTATGTATAGCTAACCTTAGTACTCCAATTTGAATGTATAGCTCTGATTTTTCTTCTTTTTATTTTTTCTTTTTTTCCTTTTTTATTTTTCCTTTATCCTTTTTTTTTCCTTTTTCCTTTTTTCTTCTTTTTTTTTTCTTTTTTTTTTTTGGGGGGGGGGGGTGGAGTAGCAATACTAAAGGGTATCTGTCTCAGTGACACAGGTTCAACTGGCATTTAGAGAGAGCATTGGGATGCTTGGGAAAAGTTGTGGGTGCAAGCATTATTGGAGTGATGCAACCTTCTCTTTGCCTGAACCTAGGCACCATTTTGTGCAGTTTGATGAGCTACCCAGACGTGCTGATCTGCAATGCAAATGGCAGGAGCCCAGCACCAAAGTCTGTCATGGATGGGATATGTAAAGGTGTGACCTATGATGAAAAAGAGAAGATTTTTTCCTTCACCCTGGGAGGGCAAGTGTTCAGTGGAAGTATGTCAATGAATTATTTCAGTTTACATTATTTTTCTCTAATTCTTGTACACACTCTGCCTTTTCTCACCAGCCTGCTCTTGTACTTCAGTGGTTTTTTTTCTCGAGTAAATATCTATCTGTACAATCACAAGAGAATAAAATTTTCCTACTTGGGTGCATTATTAGATAGATGGACCTCTCATGTTTTACTGTGTGAGCATTAATGAAAGTCAAAAATGTGTTGGGATGGACCTCTCATGTTTTACTGTGTGAGCGTTAATGAAAGTCAAAAATGTGTTGGGTGTTTAGTATGTTACCCTGTAATACTTCCAGTATTTAATTCAGACAGATTCAAACCAATAATCTGAAAGAAGGGTAAACTCTGGAGCAAAGAGAAAACCAGAGATGCCCAGAGCTGCACAGAAAAAGTAATGATGGAGAACAGGGTAAACCCTTGGCACCCTTGACCCAGACTAGCACCAGGAAACCTGTGTCCTTCTTCCTTAGGGTCTTGTAGATAAGGTGATGCACAGTCTAGTGATGTGTTTTTAATACAATTTCTGAGCCTGTTTAATTTGAACAGCTATTCTAACAAACTTTTTTCTTTATTAGCTTCTAAGTTGGCAGAAGAGGCAGCAAGAAATTTTACTACCTTTCAGCAAGTTTATCTGTGGAGAGGTGAGTTATCTCACAGAAGTTGTTATAAAAGCTTATGATGACCTATAGGTGGTGGCAGATGCGTTCTATAATGTCATTCTCACTTTGTTTTATACTGTCCAAGTTGAGACACTACTAGAAAGTCTTTTCTGGTAGAGGTGGGTGTAATCTGGAATAATTCTACTACTCTTGGTTTAATGAAATTTATGTAAACTCTTGTGTCTGAGAATATGCTTTTTAATACCTGTGAAAAATCATATCAAGGAGACACTTGCTTTTGTCCCATCAGTGTCCATGTACCATAACCATTTGTCACTTTATACATAACTAGAGGGGTTATTTTTATCAGCATGATAACCAGAAAGTAAACTTAAAAAAGACATACATGAATGTTGCAACATACATAGCAGGACCTGTATAAATGATTTGTGATACTGCTTTATAAATATACATAGCAACCAGAGCACTTGTGCTGAATGCATTGTTATTGTGGATGTGGCATTTGCTGTTATCCTGAAAACACCGTGTTTTCTTTTAGGTTTTTCCTATAGAGCTATACATAGATGATCTTAGTAATTTTTGATTCATCAGTTCCTGGAACTATCTAAGGAGTTTTCTTAAATGCTGCACTTTAAAATGTTTGCTAAATTTAGGGAACTGAGGATGTGTGCTTGTCTAGTGGATGAAAGATAAGTGGAATTACCATGCTCTTTAATTCCAGGCTCGGATATGCTCACGCGGACTAAGACCTCTGCTTGTGATGCTACTGCTTTGAAGACAGTGAATGAACTACCGTTATCAGGTATTATAGTAAGGGTGGACAGAGGAGACAGCAGAAGATAGTAGAGGGAAGTGCAGAATTTAACCAGAAAATATCATATATACTGCCATATATGTATTGTAACGGTGTACATATTGTGAAGTCCGGAGGATTTCTCTTAGGTAGGGAATACGATACAGGTTTTGAGAAAGGTGTTAAAAATGTAAGCCTCCTGGAAGTACCTCCTGTCTTTCTGGTTTTCACTTTCCCAGGCCAGGCTGGAAATGAAAGTGTTAAAATGTTCTGTGAAAGCTTGCTCTTTCAGACTTACTGAACTATAAAGATCCAGAAAATATTATGTGGCTGAGAAGAAATCTCACATAAACCCAGGAATCAAATCCTTAGCTTGGGTGCCTGGGCATATTCCTTGTTACTGACAATATGACTGTAAACGTGATGCTTAGAGGAACTCAGGATGAAGCTGCAATCACAAGTGTTTCTTCCATGCATGATGAAAGTGAGGGACCTGTGAAGTTCTCTAGCTCCTTTGTTATTCCAGGGTCTGTTCTTCATTACACTATGTCATTTATATATCCAAAATAGTTTGTATTCAGTTACTATATTTTCTTTGGGCCTTCAGCACGATAGTCAGCCTGGTCTGATTAATCCAAAATACAGCAGTTTCCTTATATTCCCTTAGGAAGCTTTTACACCTCTCAATGTTAAAGTTTTCTTAAAACTCTTAAGACTTATTTCAATCATTTAACCTTATTTCTCCTAGTTTGCACTTCCACAGACCACATTAAATAACTCCTTTCTGTCACCTGCCTGTGATCTTTAGACATGTATGCAGTTTTTTTTATATATCCTGAGCTCCCTCTGAAACAATCACAGCTATTTCCGGCTGTTTTCAAGTTAATCCCTTTAAATAAGAGCCCAAGTAAAATATTGAAAGAAATGGACACACTTCACTGATCTCTTGCAAATTTCTTCATAAACACCTTTTGTTTATCAAATGCCATCAGCAGGTCTCATCCCCGGTTAGTCGAGCATTGTGAGAGATTCTGTTATTTAATCTTACTGTACTGAAATAGCTGGACGAAAATCAGTATAGGAAAGTCAAGGCATGCTGATGATTGCAGCTGAAATGCTGAAACACCCACTCATGTGCCGGGAGTACACAATAGCTTTCAATGTTCTATCAGAAAATAGCAAACATATGTTATGTGCTTTAAGGATCATCACGTAATTTTCCCAGATGTATCCATAACTTCTCTAAAAAGGTGACTTATAAATCTTGTTACCTCTCAAGACTTAACTTCAGCTTTCAGTTTCTCTGGAAACAGTTTGTGTCATGACTAAGAGTAAGGGATGCAGGACGAAGCTGCATTCCTTGCATAACTTCAGGTTTTAATGATATCATCAGCCCCAGCAAGGTAAATGGGGAACCCTGAGGGCTGCACTCATGCCTTGGCAAGTAAACACAAGAGAATTTCACCCCACATAGTAAGTGTAGTTTTTTCTCATTTTTAAGTATAGACTTTAAGATATGACTAATTGTACAGGAGCACCACTAGCTAAACAGGCATTTTAGCTTACCTTCCATTCAAATTAGATAAACAAAATCAGGAATTGTAAACATCCTCTGAGGCATCATACTTCACTGTTTGGCTGATGTGTTGACAGAGTAGAGAGAACCTTCTTATTTCTAGGACCTGTGATTTTCTTCTAATTTTTGGGTGTGGAAATAGCCTGACCACGCAGTGTTGTGCAGTGCAGCTTGGCGAGGCGACATTGCCAACACAAACATCAATAACCATGGATGGACAATTCTGTTATTAAAAGCAGCCTTTGGTGTATGTTAGCCCTACAAAATGGCCACAGCTGTTTTAGCGTGAAAGGCAGAATTTTATAAATAAATTAAATTTATTCCAGCTCATAGTTAAGTTTTTGTGGGTTTGAGTGATTTGTTTGTTTGTTTCTTTGTTTGAATCTCAGATTTCACAAAGGATCTTTTCTACCTAATGGACAACAGCCGGATACAAAGTGACCAGAACTATTCTCTCCCTTACCAGCAACACTGGATCTTCAGACAAATGTACTCAGCAGAGGAAGCTGTGCTTTGGTGTCTCACACGTAAGACATCTTGGACACTGTTATTCTGTAGGGAATAATAATTTAAATCTTTGAGTAGGCATTATAATCGTGATGAGTAGAAACTCTGGATTTAGAGATTTTTTGTGAAAACCCACAAAGTTTTCATAGAAGTTGCTAATGGGACCACCTGTTTCTTCTTTATAATCATCTACTCTGGCAGAAAGGGTACCCATCGTTCGTCATCAGGGTATCCCTCTTACAGGCAAGCGAAGTAGAAGACACAGCTTAGGCAATACACTGCTATTCTTGAAATGTACTCCTCCACATAGACAGATGGCATAGTGGCAGAAGAAGAAGGTAAAATACAGATATTTGGGGTTAATGATAAAGCACATGCGATAAATGGAGAAGAGTTTCTAGCTCTGACTACAAGGAAGGCAGAATCAAGAGTACTAAACAGTGCACAGACATCACTGTAAGAAGTCAGCAGAGCTGTGCCTGTTTAACATTAAGCATTGACATATATATTTACAGAAGTCATTGCCACAGTAATTAAGAAAGGGATTTGATAGATTTCTTTCCTTTCTGAAGATGCTTTATTACCCTGGGGCAAATTTCAGTGTAAACTGCTACAAGCAACTGGCTTGAACAGTTGATTCTAGAAAAGTTTTTTATATTTCTGTGTGATGTAAGAAAACTTCAGAAATATTTTTTTGTAAAAACTTCCTAAGACAATGTAGACTTTATTGTCCCTTTTATTCTTTAAAGTAAGAGACCCACGACTGTTGCCGAGTTCTTTTATGATTATACGGTCTGTGTGTCAAATTTACTAAAAAGAAAGAGTGCGAGATCTTTATGAATCACTGTGTTAGAGTGACACCAATACACTACGCTAATGCTTGTCACAGCTGCAAAACACATCTTTCCAATTAGCTGTGGTATAGCATCTTTTCTGTGCTCTGCAGGTAAGCCTGCTCTTCAGTGTTACTAGAGACAGAATCTGTACCTGTTTCTCTTGCACTGTAATAGAATAATATTGAAATTTTCACTTTTAGTTTGATGATGGATAGCTTTAAGTGTGCTGAAGACATGAAGAGGATTAGAGAGGGGAAGAAACCCTCGTGTCTGTAACTCTTCATAACTTTGCTTCCTAGGTTGTGCACAAGAAGATGAGTTTTGTCGAATGGCAGATCTTCAGAATGCCACAGACATATACTTTGTGTGTACCCTCTACCCAGAGGCACAGATTTGTGATGGCAGCTTTGATCAAATACCAGAAAACTGTCGAACTGTGCTACCCTGGCAGCCACAGATGTTGTATCGTAAAATAGGCAAGTTTTGGGATTTGGATGTATGTGTGCTCTAACCTTGATAATGCAAGCTAGTGCTTTGGCTCTTGGTTCTGAGATAAAAAGTCTGAATGTATGCAGGAGTACTGAGATTTGATAGGGCAAGGGAAGGTCGGGCTGTTCTGGGTGTGGTTTTTCATTCTCAATTCAGAATGGGAAGATGTTAACCATGAGTTCCACTCTCCACCTCAGTTACTCCCAATTCAGAAAGGCCAAGGGTAGCTCAGATAATTTGTATACCAGGTCTTAGGTCTTTTTATAATGTGGATGAAATGGAAATGTCATTGGGATGTCACCAATCCCATTTTCAACCATTAAAATTTCCATGGTAGTTAAACAATGCAAAAGTTGAAAGTCATTGAGTGTAATATTTTATTTTCTTTTTTTTTTTTAGCAAATCCAAATTTATAGACGTATGGATTTTAACCTGTGCTCTTTGAATGCTTGGGAAGTTCAATGATTTTCTCATAGGGCTCATGTGTGGAAGCTGGAAAAACAAGCCCATTATCACTATTCAGGAACCTATACTTTTACTGTGAAAATGTAGAGATCCACTGAACTAAACTATTAAATTGTGTCTTTTGGGAGAGCTCAAAGTGCAGCACAAGTTGACTAAAGCATGAGTACACTGGAGTCTTCCAATCTGGAGTTGTTCCCAGTTTTTGGACCTTGAGGAAGGAGTTACATCAATACAGGTCTCAGAAGCCCTGGGTTGGAAGTCTTTCCTTGGTGATACACTTCACTAAGTTTTTAGAGCCTTCACTCATTGGATTTTTGTTCATCTTCAGGCTTAACTGTCACAAATTTACTGTGAAAATATAAAAATGCCTTTTGATGGATCAAGACCATTGTAGCATAGAAACATAAGCTTTACCCTTAGCATGTGATTACTTGACCAGTATATGTAAATTACAAGGTTAAGCTGATTTTTCCAATTTAGTTTTTCTTTTTTCTTTCAGTCACTCTAAAAAGTTCTGTGAAGAGCTTCTACATGCGTGTACCATTCCAGAAAGTAACTGAGATCTCAGTGAGGAATAAGACTGACATGAGCAGAAAAGCTGTTTCAGATGGGTAGGAAATGACTGTTCCTTTGTTTTTACTGGAAGTTTAATCATGCCTTGAATACCAAGGCCCTGTTACACAGATGAAGGGGATCAAACATATTGATCCATCCAAGAAAAGCATTATTTGGGAATATTTAACAAAGAAAAAAACCCAGGAATTAAAGGAAATTTATAATTGAGTTATAAATAGTAACATATATAATTAATAATTATATATATGTGTTTTTATTACTTATACTGCAATTAAAGTGCTGGCTGGCCAGTTGCTCTTGGCAATAATACACCAAATTAATGTAAACTGGTATTTTTAGGGCAAATATCAAAATACCGATCTAAATTTTTAGATGTAGTCTGGTAGATGTATACTGATAAAACATAATTTAATCTACAAATGGAAAATGTGTGGATGTGTCTATGTAGTATGAAGACCCAGGAGGTGGTCTTATTGTGAAAGATATCTCCACAGGTTCTTGGTGTCTGTCTCCTATGCAGTGTCCTCTCTTCCCTTCTCCATGGCAGAGACAGATTACTACTGATAATAAAAGTAATTCTGTTATTCCTTTCCCAGCTTTTTTGAGTGTGAGCGTTGGTGTGATGCTGACCCCTGTTGCACGGGATTTGGCTTTTTTAATGACTCTCAGCTATCAGGTAATTTTTCACTATTTTTATTTTAAAAATAATTTTAGTCTTCCTTATTACAAATTTTACCATCCTTTTTCTGTGAAAGCCACTTTAAAAGCCCTTGCAGATCTTATGCAACTCTCTTTAACACCTTTTTGAGTAATTATAAGCATTTCTAGGAGTTCAGCCCAATGACGTGCTCCACATGTCAGAAATTTTTTTCAGTTGCAGATATAATTACACTAGGTCTTTGAAAGGCAGAATTTTTATCTTGATGTAAGTAGGGGCCGTGTTTCAACATACATGCAGATTTTTAATTTCCAGGATTACAGTAACCAGAAAGGGCTGCTTGCTCAAAGAAGAGGTCCTGATCTTCGCTCAGTGGAAATACTCCTAGTGACCTTAGTGGGTTGTAATGTTGGTTACCCACCTTCCCTCACATTGAATTAATTGTGGTTTATCAACAATAAAACCTGGCTTAGTTTAGGCATTACGGTCCTTTGATTTCTAAGTCAGTGGAATTCCTTTTAACACTCAGTGGAACTGTGCTTTATTAATTTTCCTCAAAATGCTGTATAGAAGAGGAAAATTTTCCTCATCATTTCTGTATCTGTGTATTTCCCTAGCAGGTGGAAAGATTGTGTGCCTGACTCTGAACAGCCTAGGAATCCAGATGTGTGCTGAGGAAACAAGGACTGCTTGGCAGGTTTCAAATTGTAGTTCACCAGATGCTGAAGTCAGGATACACCCGTTTGGCTGGTATCAAAAGCCTGGTAAGTGATGAAGGGCACGTGGCCTTTCTTACTGGTTTCTGCACATTGAAGCTTATTGTTTAGCTTCAATGTGTAGAAGCTTCAGCTTTCAGATGGAGGATCAATTTGCAAGGATCACAAATAGACAAGGCAGACAAATGTATGCAAGGGAAAAGAAAAGTGGAATTTAATCTCCATTATAATAGAAAAGGAATATAAATGCCTCAAATATGTATAAATTCTTAGCTTGTATGGGAGACTTGCAGCCAGTGTTGAAATCCAAATATATTTTGTCCCTCTGCACAGTCCTGGTCAGCATATCATTCTTTGCTTCTCACTGCTTGGCTTGTGGTTTAACAGTGTGCATGGATACATAAATTCAAAATGTTTGGTTTTCTTACAAAACTTAAAATTCACTTTTGGCTGCTTTGGTAAAGAAAGGGCCGAGACCAAATTGCAAGGTAGCACTGTATTCTTCAAGCAGTAAGAAGCCATCATATGTTTAAACAGAAGAGAAGTTATGAGAGGTTATTTCCTCAAGAGGAATCAAAACCACTCCTAGTCAAAGTGAATTTTCTTTTCCATAGTGAAACAAAGGCTCCATTACTCGATTGAAAAATTTCAATGGGTTTGTCATTTGTCACACTTCTTTTGGGTGGATCTAGTTCTACTTTGTGAAGCTTTGGTTTAACACAGCTGAAACAATAAGGAAAAGAAATGCTGAACTGACTGTATACCCTTTTGTGGGAGGATAGCCTGTTATTGAGTCTACACGGGCAGAACCTTACTGAACTCCACTGAGGGCAACAAGAAGGCCCCACGGGGGCAGGTCTGACCATGTTGACAGAATCAGGGTAACAAACTGAATAAGGAGTACTTTTACCTGCTTTAAAACTCCCTTAGTTCTTGCAGACTAGAGGAGATATCTGAGTGGGGAGGGTAGGTGTGAAGTGTGGATACACACTGTCCACCACATGTGATATAAAGATAAGTTAAAGCTGTGTAAAGCCAACTGCATTTTACACTGTTGGTGAACTTAAAGAAAACCCTCATTCACATAGGAAGTATCTGAACTATGAACTTGATCCTGAGCTTTTCCAAGTCCTATACTGGCACTCTACCTACTGGACCATCCATTTTTTCCCTCTGTGGGGCAACCCTTGTTAAAGAGGAGATAGAGTGTGGAGTTGAGGGGGCACCATGGAAGATTATAGGGTTTCCCAGATCCCCAGTGTGGGCTTGGTGAGGGATGGGCTGAGGGTCTAGCACTGAGAGCAAGGGAACAACAGCCCTGATGAAGTAGGCAATGGCAAGAGCCTCTGGGCAGGTGGAGCTGGGAGGCAACCAGGGGTAAGAATGGTTGAAAGGCAAAGTGAAGAAGAGACGATGTAGATACGCTTCCACTTCTTGGAGTTGTTCTTTCTCTCATTGACAAAGAACCAACTAAAAATAAAGGATGTTGCTCACTTCACGGACTGCAGGATGATGAAGAGGAACCTGGGTTATATGCAAAGAGGGGAGTGTTAGGAGGGACAGTGATGTTTCCTTATGTAGTGAGGAAGCTTCAGATGTGTTTCCACCATAACATACAGCAAGGCACAGATGTTTATGCAAATGGAGATATTTGCAGACAAACACTTGTATCAGTTTTGCTGGTGTGCTGGGGGTCTGGGAACCAGGAAGAGAAATAAGAAAGCTCTGAGCTAAAAGGGAAAATCAGTGAAGTCTGAAGAAGGAATTTACCATAGGCAGTGGGATGTTAGTATGAGGCAGGGTCTTTGGTTTTAGTCCACGGTCTTCTGTTGTAGGAAGGTACTTGTGTCTCTGTGTTTCATAGTATGTTAAATTGACATATGAGCTGTTTGCCCACGCGGCTCTGCTCATTAGCAGTTTGACTTCGTATATATAGTCATGGTTGTGATTCAGTCAATGAGGAATATATAGAAGCATTTTAAAGAGAGTTCTGGATAATCTGATAAAGTTCTGATCTGCCTTCAGGTTCTGTAGGGATGGTAGTTAATTTTGTCTTGGTAGAGAATTTTTAACTGATTTGATTAGCTGAAGTGTTTTACAAAATATGAATGCACAGGTTATTTGCTATTTAACAAATGTTTAAAGGAAATGTTAGCAAATGGGAAGTGTTGTGTGTGGAAAATATGAATTATTATTTTAATTTTAATTTGAAAACCTTCTTGCTAAAAACTGACTTGTTCCTAATTCTCCTTTTGAGAGATTCCAGTTTTCTAATCAGGAAGCAGAGAAAGTCTCGTGTCTCTTGTGATACAGAAAACCAAATATAGATAGGGGCATGGAAAAAACCTCCGAAATGCTGAAATGAGTTGTTCATAAATAAGTGCATTCTAAAAAGTGTTTGTAGGAATGTTTATAAATATGGAAATTCAGGGAAGTCTGGTTTCATGTACAAGCCCAAAAGGGTCAGATAGCAAAGCAGTCTCGCAGCCTTACTCTCTGTGTCTGTGGTGAGAAGATGCAACATTCAGATCCCAGAAATAACGCTAGAAATATTGAGATGGTGATTACATTTTAAACCTTCAAGTGTAATTATTTTAAAATGTTTTGGTTTTTTTATGCTTTTAGCTGCCTTGAAGAACACCATGCCTAACTATTGTCCACCTGTTCATTTACCTCTCAAGACAGAAAATGGTAAGTGTATTCATGCATTAAGAAAAAAAAAATTATCTGTCTTGTATGTACTGCTAAAAGATCACACTATAATGAAATGGCTGTGTTCCCCATGAGTTTACTCATTCATGTGTTTACTCATTTTTATTGATTGTGTATCATTTAAATGGAAGAATTGTTGTCATCCACAATGCTGGCCTACTATCTCTCAAACTCACTGCTACAAGAGGTCACTGAGGCAAAATATTTGGCAGGATTGATGAAGAAATTTATCACTTATCGGTGTGGATATCACTTTCAATGGATATAAGTTCATAGTTTAGTGCAGTGACCAAGGAAGAAAAGCTGTGGCAAGGGTAGCCCCCTGAAAAGCCATTAATTGCATGATTTTTCACTGTTGTGGCATTTCTGGTGCCTTTCTCGTAGCATCTGGTGCTTTCCAGAATGGCAAGGGGTGTCAGATTAGACAATGACCAGCAGTTTCTGTCAGTCATGCTGAATGTGAGGAGTGACAATGAATTTTTAAATAGGTACAAACAATTCCAATAGAGATGCAACGTCAAATTTAGCAAATCTAATTTTCACCAAAAACCAAGATGAAAGGGACAGTTTCTTCAGAAATTAATGCAGGTTTATACTACTTTATAATTGGTGGTACAGAAGAATGATAGACTGTACTGCCTTTAGTTCTTGTTTGTGGTTTCCTGCAAGGGTGAGAATATTATCTCAAAGATTATTCAGAACTGGGTCACAAGAAATGTAATATTTGAGATGTGTGTTGGGTCCCACTTTTGAAGAGATGCTGTAACTTTCTATGACACACTTTTTTGCATTGGGAAGAAAAAATCATTTCAGTCTTGCTGTGAATTAATCTTATGGTACTCACGTGTTATTTTAAAAGTGGGTGTATCCACTTAATAAATGAAACTTGACGCTGTCTTTCAGGGCTTTGTATTTATCACCCCCTAAAAATATATGCAAATTGTCAACAGCTACAGGCTTCCCTGATGTGTCCTTTCCAGAAATACACAACATATCTGCTAAATGCCGTGTGTAACGGAAAGGAAGCAGGTTGACTAGTCATTAGATAACTCAATTTAACCCTCAGGTTAGACTGAAATTGAGCAGTCCCATCCACCTCTTCCTTTGATTATCTGTTTGATCTGAGCAAATTTGTTAATCTGTTTCTGCTTGTCTTTTTTAAACCATATGCAACTGGGCTTGCAGGAATTGGTTAATATTCAACACTGAGTTCAGAATTTATTACTAACCATTTAATCATCATATCTATGACAACCAATCGTGATCATGTTCAGACAATTTTTATTATTAGTAGAGTTTTTGCTTTTGTAATTATAGTTTTAATGTAACAGAAGGAAACTCCTATCTTTGTAAGTAAGCAGAAATAATTTCTGTGTGAAAAACTGGAAAGAGTCAGTGGGGTAATGTGTAGGCTGGGCAATTCAACTCCTTTGCAAACTGTTTTTCCCATGGGATGTAGAAAACTGCTTTACTAAAGCTTTCTTCCTCCCAGTGTGAAGCTTTGTAGTGATTTTTCCATTTTCCTTCTATATTTTTCTTGCTTTCTGAAGTCTAGGAAAATAGTGACCTAAGCAGCACTTAGGGAAGTTAGGCCTTTCTATCTGTCATTTGCTTTCTACTCTGAAGACTTCCCAGAACTTAACCACAGCAAGCGAGGTGCTCATCTTACCCTTAGTAATGATCTATCGCACCCATTTCCAGGTCCTCTTTGCAAATGCAGAGTGGTTAGGGAAGTCTCTGGTTTGCAAAGGTCTGGTTAACCACAGAAGTGAGCAGAGCCTCCCACGAAGAGGCAGGATTCTGGACTGGAGTGGTTGTCCCAAGGACAGCAGTCAGGAGAAGTCACTGAATTACAAAGAGCACAACCAGCCTGGACATCAAATTATCACTAGTACCCTTTGGATCTTTGACACCAGTGTGTGCAGCAATGCATTCAAAATGCAACTGGGCACCATCTGTCCTTCTTATGTGCTGCCTCATTTTGATAGTAAAAGTACCAGCCCAGTTATTTAGGTCAGATTGCTATCTCTGTCACAATGTCAAAGGTTTTGGAAAATTTTCAAAAATAGTTTCCAAGCTCTTTATGATTACATATGTTATGTTAATATATGCTATAGAAGATTAATGGTTTTAGAATTGGGCATTATAGAAAAGCTCACAGTGACTGAATTTGCTACGTTGTGGTATTGCTTGTACATGGGGAAAAAAAAAAATACTGTGACTCCTGTGTGGCAACCAGATGGTGAGTGCGAGAAAATACCACTATTTGAAGGGCACTGTCGTGTGTGTGTATATATATGGGGGGGTGTGCATGTAAACACATATATAT